AATTCCCGAAATTCCCACGGGAACAGGAATTAGCGGGAAAATCCTTTTGTATGAAAAATCTAAACCGCTTAAGTTAGACGCTTGAAATTTGGTATGTACGAGTAGGTACCTTAGTAAACTTAAAGCTTAGTAACAACAAGGAATTCCCGAAATTCCCACGGGAACGGGAATTCACGGGAAATAACATTTGTATGAAAAAACCTAAACCGCGTAAGATAGATGAAGGGGGTAAAACGGCATCCACGCGTACGAAGTCGCGGGCGGCCGCTAGTTTTAAATAAAATTGATCACTTAGCACTAAAAGCGTTCTCCTATTCTCACGTTTCTAGTGTGACATTGACACCATGACAGCAGCTCATTGGCCACAGCGATACTGTTATTTTAACGTTGTCGATTTTTCACAATATACAGTACAAAAAAATATTTAAAAAAAAACAGCCCATAATGGTAGCTCATAATTTGTTTGTCAGTTAGGTGTCATAATAAACCTACAAGATTCGGAAGAAAATTGCGTTCTTACATAAGTCAAGGTAAAATGTTTTCCGTAAAATCATATTCGGGACTTTTGGTAGACACCAGACCGCGTCTTTCTAATCCAATTCGTAACCTATAAGCAAGGTTATTGGAATATGGGGTTGAAGGAGAGAAAAAAGAACAAAAAGATCCTTTCAAACAAAATTGGTGAAGAAACAGGGGTGACGCACCGCAAAACATCGGCGGGCCTCATGCGGGGGCTGATTCGATCGATCATACAACGTACAGGCATCAAGCGAAATTTTATGCTTCTTATACCGTTGGGATACGAGTGATTTTACAACAAAATTGTATAGTTTGATATGCTGTCGACTGTATATGGCTTTCTCCAACCTAAAACACATTACGGTTCAGCAAACTAAATAGGATAAAGCGAATAAGGTTTATAATAAATATATCTGCGTGATTGACAAATGTTGGCCAAATAATGACAGTAAATTTAACAGCTTTATTTATTTATATCTTGTTACATAGGAAAAACTGATTTTAATTGCTTGAGTGATTGATTGACAAAGAAAATTACGTGCCATTTATGAAGTGAACGTTCAAAAGCTATGACCGAAATAATTAAAACGAATAATTTACGAGTTATCTTTTACAATATCGAAGTGCCAAAGTTGGTCGAAGTTACGAACTCTTCCGAACTAACATTGACGTAATCGTCGCACCCCGAGACGTTTCAATACAATCCAACAATAGACTGGAGAAACCGCGAAGTGACGTTCGAGATAATCAAAAGCCTTAAATTCTTCCTGTCTAGGGGATAATTAACTGAGCTTTGAATACTTCATAGTTTTAGTTGTACTGTACTATATGGGTGATTTAATTTATTTACAATAATAATAACACACTTAGGGTGGATTCGACCAAACAAGAGTAAATATTAATCTCAGAATAAATCGTCAGTTATTGGACACTGACATAATATTTCCCATACTGAAACTGTCAATGTGCCAGTTATACCAGGAGTTAATCTTGGATAAAAGTTTGGTCGAATCGGGCCTTAGTAACTGTAAGAAAAATATTTTTATTTTAGAAAAGAATAGATTTATACTTAATTAGAAGACTTTATTTGCGATTAATTACGATAGCAACACAATTTTAGAAGAGAATAGGTAACAAGTTATTTTTAGCCAAACTCGTACTATATTTGCTTTCAAACGTTGTTTTCGCTGAAATATTATTTGAACAGGCAAGATGTTTAGAATGTTCGTTACAAATGTAATTAACGATACCATGTGCGGAGATGTTAAAGAATAATGTCCTTTGAAGTTGTTGCTATATGACATTCGACAAGTTTATAATATATGTCGCGGCCTACACACAGCTGACGTCACAAGCCATTAGTCGGCTGACGACAGTGGAAAACCTCAAGGGTCATGACGAGTTCAGATGCGACACATGGTGTGAATAGTCCGGGTGCGGACAAAACTTTCTCCGCATCTCTCCCCACACATTTATCTCTTAACAGCGAAACTGTTTTGGGTATTCCTTTGTTTTCTCAAGCCAAAAAGGTTGTCCCGATCCATCGGGACTCGTTTTATTATCACTTAAAATATATACTTAATATACGGAATCAGTCCTATATAACCAATGTCTCACAGGTCATAACTTCACTGAACTAAATATAAACTCTGTTGTACAAAAATTAATGATCGGATTTCGTTAATCTGCAGCTGGAATGTCACATCACATAATCTAAATACATCCCATTTGGGGTTCATAAAATTTTCAGTGTAAAACACCTCTTTCAAAAACAACAGGCTTATCACTACAATTTTCTGTTTATTGGAAATTGATCCGAAATGGGGCTTTGTTTATTCGGGGAATTGATACCGGCGTTGGCGGTGTGAGCTTGAATAGCGTATGAGGAAAATGTTAGTACATATGAGTATTGTTAAAAAGAGCACTTTTTGACAAAACTCCTCTGATAAATAGGACGTAGTACTTAAACAATTTTTCGCACAACTAGTCCTTACATCTAAATATAATATAACTCAAAGGTGACTGACTGACTGACTGATATAGTGATCTATCAACGGACAGCCCAAACCACTAGACGGATCGGGCTGAAATTTGGCATGCAGGTAGATGTTATGACGTAGTCATCCGCTAAGAAAGGATTTTACGAAACTATTCCTAAGGGGGTAAAACAGAATCCACGCGTACGAACGCGCGCGCGTCACGGGCGGCCGCTAGTATACAGTGTGAGTCACGTTAAAGTGTACATATGAAAATAGATGAAACTAGACCTATTTTTATCGACAAAAAAGAGGTGAAAAATTTTTTGAGATTTTTTTTTTAATTTTTTATAGAATTTTTTTTCTTCCAATTACTTATTGTAAAGAAAATGTAATAACTTTTAAACTAAGCGGTATATCCTGATAAAATAAAACAGTAATAATGCTAAATAACAGGCGATACTAAAAAAATACATAAAATACACAAAAAATGCCAACAAATAATAAAAAATGATACTTTTTGAAAAAAATCTGCTTTTAAATTCGTGTTTTTTTGGTTATTTGATAAATTTCTCCTAGAAATGTCCCTATAACAGGTGGTTTTTATTACTTTGTATTATTCTCCATTGTATTATCTTTGTAAAACCAAAAATCGCATGTCTCTATCCCTATCATAACATTTGCTATGATCGTTTGAACTAAGTCTCTCCAGGCGGGCTTTAACCTAGTATTTTATATGTTTTAGCACGTTTACTGTACAGTCACAGCTAAGTATCTATGGTGGGTTTAAATAAAGTTTTTCAAATCTGACCAAAATTGGTTTCGCACTTTTTAGATTTTATTTTCAGCAATGTTTTGTTATTGTTTTGTAATATCCATCAGTTTTACAGGCCCTATATTAATATTGTAGCCTGACGGTATTGCAGCAGGCATTTCGCAGTAAGCTCTCTCGGGCTAAAAGCTTTTAGTACTATTTTATTAGTACCGCCGTAACACGAAGTAAATTTTAGTCATTGCCAATCTAAACTTTTTAAAAGATTGAAAACTAGCTTTTTCATTTCCGAGGGATTAAAATTGTCTAGCATGATGTTTGGTCAATATTTGAGTTATGAAATCAAAACACTGCATCTTTCAATTTACACTTAAGTACAGAAAATACTACTTCATTGAAATTTTAATAACAGCAGATAACCACGAATCATCCGAAAAAGTCTTGTATACTCAAATTCATGGTGTTGTTATTTTTCACTGTCAAATATTACAAGTTATACTCTATAATAAAAAAATAATAATTAAGAATGGAAATCTAAAGTAAATAATAATAATATTTTTCACTGAATTATTAAAGGTAATTGTAAACTAATTGGAAAACTATAAAATCGCATGGCTTACCAGTTTTTCCAGCTCAAAGATCATCGCTAGTCCAAAAATGCTAAATATGTAGGTAGGTACGTTTATTCTTTCAAAAATATTTCCTAGTAAGTAATGTTGAGGCAACATTTTGTAAAATAACGGCCTACTTACTTTTATTCCGTTTACTTCAATCCCTAGATTGATTGAATTAAAGAAAGAAAAATAACAAAACATACGGGTCGAATTGAGAACCTCCTCCTTTTTTGGAGTCGGTTGAAAATACAATCTCTTTCCCGATATTGTCAAATGGATAAGACACAAGTTCGACAATCATTTCACTTGTTAGTCGCTCCGATTTGATGTCAATTTGTTTTTACATTATGTTCATTTATTTTTCCGACATTTCCCTCGTGTTTTGATAATATCCGTCGATATTAACATCTGTAATAAAATGCTGATAAATCTAAAAATAAAAGAGCACATATTTAAAAATATGGGAACAGAAACTTTTTACTATTTTCTTATTTTTAAACGTCTTTTGACATAATATTTTATAGTTTTTCAATGGCACTTCATAGAAATTCAAAAGCTAATAAATAGGTACGTTAAAAAACTTGATCATTCTTTTCATTTCTATAATATAAATAAATCGTTAGACATAAATTATTTGAATACATATCTTTTCGCTTCCCTCTCAAAAGAGTTTTATTTTTTGCCCCTTCCGAGCACGCGTTGTCCCTTTTTCGTTTCGCTTGTTTTATATGGGGCGTTTAATTCGATAAAATTCGTGTGGACTCGAATTGGTTTAGGAGAGCTGGAAAGTAGACCAGCATATAAATGCCCCAGCAATGTCATTGTTATATTAGGCTTGTATTGTTCGGAATTCCCTTATAGATTCAATCTATGAAAACTTCCATTTAGCGTCTTTACTCGTATTGCAGAAGCACTTTTGTTAAGGAATGAAATAAAACATTAAACAACTTATTATTATTCTTCTTGACCTCAATAGAAGAAGAATAAAGCTGCGGCATATTTGCATAGGTACTTAAACATTCATGAATCCGTCTCAGCCGGAATGAATATGTAAAATCTAGTAAATGATCGTCTGCCATCGCTTTGACAAAGGGTTTAATGAAAAACTCTCACTCTCAGGGTTGCTGCGCTTGCAACAGCTGTACCAATCTATGCAGCCAGGCCGCACTGCGTTCCGAATCTCACTTGTGAAGCGAATCAATAACGCATCAGACGCTATGGAATTCTTGTTGGCTTTGGAACAACACGACCGCTGGGGCAACAAACGCATAGTGCTGGATTGCAACACGAAAAATGCGAAAAACATCCTGCTCGGCCACGTCCGAAAAGTACAATTGGGCCGGCGGACCTACCACTACATGCTCAGTGGGCTGGTATGTATTGCGATATTATTGCTCGATTGAAGGGATACCACAGTAGCTATTGTTTGCACTAACGATGTGCAATCTAGTAACCGCATCGGGACTGTGCGCCAATAGTGACGCCAGTGTACTAATGTCACAGAGAGCAGTCGTCCCACAATGGGTTTGTTTACGAGAACTGGGAAACTGACTTGTGTCTGGAATGTTTAGAGTAAGATACAATGTTTTTAAATGTAAGGTTTAATCTAGTAGGTAGCCTTAGATTTTCGAAAATTCATAGAGTAAATATTTTCTTAGTACCTACCTACTACGTAATAAAAAATCCATTAGGTATGCTGCTAATGTGATAAACATATTTTGAACATTACAACTATGAACCTTCAAATCAATTTAATTGTAGGTTGTTTACCTATAGTTTTTTTTACATATTTGTATTTTACTTTTGAAATAAATGAAAGAGCTACCCATAAAACACATAGGATTGATTAACTTAATTACGCTGATGCCGTTCCCACAATACAACATTAACATAATCGAGAGCCATTGAAAATGTTGAACATCGATTAACAGGTTATGGATGATCACTGGGAAAACGAAGTTACGGAGTATGGAGCAGTCAATATAACAGGGTTTCGCATCGTCGACCACTCGCGCAAGATTGTACGCGATTTCATGGACGGTTTGCGACGAATGGACCCACGGTTCAAGGGGACCATATCGGTAAGAGCTTCACTTTCATTACACTACATCTTGAGATTAATTTTGTAACATCCAATTTGGGATAAGTGTAGCGATAAAGTTGATGACTCAATTAATACGTCCAGGGAAAATGAGGCTAACAATACACTTTTTATTGTCATATAAATAATGAGCCAGTAATAAACGTTCGTAGCAACAGGTAAACGGTGACGGTATACAAGAATATTAACACTGAAATCTTGTCGTCGACAATTTAATTGGATAGTGATGATCCTTTACACACATTTTAATTTCTGCAAATGGATTTTTTATTCATGCTGTGCAAAGGAAATAAAAGACATCGTAAACAAATTGGCTCATTAATAAATCTTAATTGATATTTAATCTTGATAATATGGTTATAGGCATAGCGATGCAATATACAGAACCTCTAATGAGGACGCAATTTTGATAGTATCTGCAATCAGTCGCAAGTTCTGTCTAATTTATAATAGTAACTTGAGTTCTACTCCTTTTACTAGAACATGAATTAGTAGTGCAAACATGCGAATAAGTTAAAGTTATACTCGTATGTCATAATTAATATATTATGTATACCGTTCTATGTGCATATAAGTTTTAAATAAAAAAATAATTAATATATTCAACACTCTATACAACTCTATAGCACGGTGTAACACGCCGCTGCTGATTGATGGTGTAATTTGAAATAACCATAAAATTACCATTGTTACACGCCTACATCTGTATACTATAAAAGAAGATTGTAGGTACTCGTACCTACATTTGAAAGGTAAAATTAAGACGATCTTACGATTAATATTTTTTGTGTGGTAAGAATCGTAGAGCAAATCATTAACATAAGGAGAGTAAATAATATTGATCTATAGGATTCGCAAAAAGAACATTCTATCAACAGAAATCGGCGCTAAGTATAGCGCGACGTCAGGCTAGTGCGCTATTTTATATTTGATATCTTGATAGACGTTATTAATAATAAGTATAGGTATTACTAGATATAACTGTTACAGTCAAAACTCATAATCGGTCAAAACCACTTTTTACTGCAAAATCAGTCAAAAGTGATTTTGACTGATGCCCTTGGTCAATAACACTTTTGACTGATTTTCCCAGTCAAAAGTGGTTTTGACCAAGGGAGTCAGTCAAAATTTATACAAAGTACTCGGAAATCATAAAAATGTGTTAAACCCCCACTTTACAGTGTAACATTTTTGTGATTTATGCATAGGTACAAAATGATCACACCTACTTTAGGTACTACTTTTAAGATATCTGGGTATTCGTTAGGTAAATGATAGTGGTTTAATTTGACCGATTATGAGTTTTGACTGTAACATAACCATGCAAAATTACAGCTCATAAGATATTGAGTCGTACTTGTTAACCATATATTTTTAACGGCAGCCCTACAGAAAACGTAAAATACCACACAAGGTGTCGGAATTGACGTCTCACGAAGAAAATTCCGAGTAAAGTAATAACGCGTTTATGTAGATTTCACTAACTCACGTACGCCCTAATGAAACTCTGAGTACCGTACCCCTGCATAAATTATTATTCCATATGATCTCCCTTCGCGGAGTAAATACACTTAGGCTTTTTCACTTCGGTTGCGAACACGAGAGAATTGTTTCCAAGGAAAGTTTACTCATGACAATAATTGTTACTTTGAGTGCAATCAGTCATCATGACAGATAGAGAGCTATTTGCGTTTTTCGATAAATCAGTGTAAATTTTCCTTTACATGAGAAAAAATGATAAAAAATAAGACTTGAACAAAGTAATCATAAATGATGAAATTTGTTTTCTTAACAAGTGGATGTAGAGTCATCTTTAAAATATTACGAGAAGAATTTTAGTGGATTTCAATGCTACTGACTGTACACTGATTGCCTACGAATACATGAATTTATATAATTCCCAATACCAGGCACAAACAGCGCTGATGTACGACGGTGTCCAAGTCCTCATGGATGCATTAGGCAGGCTCTGGAGAAAGAAACCTGACGCCTTCAGAAGCGCGCTCCGTAGAGCGGCCGGTCAAGCGAACTCTACTAAAGTCATCGACTGCAATCCTGGCAAAAGTTGGGTGGTGCCTTTTGAGCATGGCGATAAAATTTCAAGGCTTATTAAAAAGGTAAGCGTCTTATTGTTTATTTGGTAATTTACTTCAAAATATATTTAATTGTGTGGATATAGTACATCTTTTACCGATGAATAGTTCAAATGTTCTAAGGATTAACCTTTGACTGTAACAGCTGAAGTCATTATCTTGGTGTCAGATCACACGTCATCTGACCTATTGTAGCGTTTGTAAAGCATGACAATCCTAAATTCTTTTTAGACAACGGATTCAAGCCTACAATTTCATTTCATTTCATTACTGGAAATTTTAACAAAGTCAATTTTCTATTTGTGTCCCATCTAGAAATTGAAGTTAGAACGGTGCTATAAATATATTCAAATATCGCTTCAATTCCCAATTCGACCGCAGCGACACTTATTGGTTTCTATGTATGAAATGGCTTCCGATCATGGCGAGGCATGCCGTTGCGGTCGGTCTTGTTGCCGTGACACTGACCCTTACCATATTCGGTATCTGCGGTTACAATCTCCACTGAAGCGTGGATTTGGGATTTAACTACAACTAATTTATGACCAAAACCATTAATTAAATGAAAAATACTATCTGACCAGTTCACCGATATCTCAACCCAAAACCTGTAAAACTAAAGTTGTAGCAATTATGTTGCCATAGGGACGTTATATCAGGTACCTACTTAGGAATAATAAAAAACACATGACACTTGAAAGTTAGGAGTTAACTGTAAAATATTACTATTCAAACAATATTATTTTTAGACCGACATAGAAGGCTTAACTGGGAATATCTCATTCAATGAAGAAGGACATCGGCACAACTTCTCTTTGCAAGTAGTAGAAATGACAGTACAAAGCGCGATGCTACAGGTTAGTGTTAAGTATTTCCATTTAATGGTATTTATTGATTATATCTTGTTTTATTTTATTTAATTTTTCGTTAACGTTGTTAAACTTCTGGAGCTTTCCCGTAAGGCTAAGTATGGGCAACTGTGATCTTTAAATAGACTATTAAAGAGTCTTCCAGTGACTTCCACTTTTATTTTGTCCAAGCTAAATGTGGGCTAAGTCACTGGAAGACCCCTATTAAATTCGTTGATAGTTTTAGACATTACTTACTATTATGAAACTGAGGCTGAGTTGCACCACCTAACTTTAACTGTAACTAAGTATGACGATAACGGATGCTTTTTGTATGGAGTTTGACAGATTTTTGACGTTGGTCAAAGTTAAAGTAAGTTGGTGCAACCCAGCTTAAGTCAAATGTGAAAACGACTGGTATTCCAAAATAAATTCCGCAGGTTGCTACGTGGTCAGATACCCATGGCCTTGTATTAGTTCAACCTAAGTACGTGCAACTTCGATCACCGGCCTCCTATGATACAAATAAAACTTACGTAGTCACAACAATCATCCAGGAGCCTTACATGATGCAAAAAACAACAGAATACGTGTACAAGGACGAACCATTGCATGGATTTTGCAAGGACTTGGCCGATCTTATTGCGAAGAGAATGGGCATTAAGTGTAAGTAAAGCGAGAAGTAAAAAATAAATATGATACCAAGTACCAACTTCACATTTTCAGGGTGACCAGGATTTATAAAAAAAAAATGGCGTCTTACGCAAACTACAGCTAGAACTTGAAAAGTCTGTAATAACTGCTGGACAAAGGCCTCCCCCAAGGATTTCCACAACGAACCGTCTTGCACCGCCAGCATACAGACAGGCACTTTTTTATTATGTGGGTATCTTAATCAGCTAAATGTGTTTTAGATGAACTAAGACTTGTAAAAGATGGCAAATATGGAACCGAAAGTCCTACGGGAGCATGGTCTGGTCTCGTTGGCGAAATTTTAAGAAAGGTGAGTAATAAAGTACTTAAATGTCAAATAACACGAACACCTTTATACATCCATAATAATTTTGATCTCAATGAGATTACGGGGTACTTTATAAATCAAAAATATTACAAGCAGCCGCTGCGAAAAAGATTTCGAATATAATATTTTCGCTCAAATTGAGTTCCTAACACAGGAGCTTCCCGAATCCGCTTTATAATATACGAGCGAAAGAGTTAAGAGGCTCAAAGCGGCACGGTGCTTAATAGTCCGCGACAGCTACTGGGATTTTCGTAATCGACCTGAGTATAACGGCAAATGCCTGTATTGTAAACGCTCTTACCCTTGGGTGTAATTTTTCATTATTTTGCATTATACATGTGACAAATTATCTCGTAACTTGTCTGGCCATACATTTAACTACTTAGCCCGATAGAATATGAAGAGAGTGGCCTTTTGGGTAAACATGAATTGCAATTTTCGTTAAATACAATGTATATTTGCGATATAGCACCTACCACAACTAAATGAATAAGTATAATAAAAAACCCAACTGCGTAAAAATTAACTAAAAAGTTAAAAACAAGACAACTTAGTGTTCACAAATGCAGTCGGAGGCATCAATGACTAATTCTTTTGTTGGTGATGTATTTGCCCTCACCCTCCTTCTGGCGCAGTCGGGTAATGATTTATATTAATGCTAGACTAAAACGAACGTTGTGTTCAGCTACAATCGGAGTGCAAAATAATCAATTATCTTTTTTCAATGTATTCTGTATAAGCCATGATTTGTAATCTGTTGCTGTACCTGCTGTTAATTAAAAAAAATACAATGCTCACAGTGATTTGTGGGTGCATTCAATTTAACTTTCATAATATTTCATAATTAGGTACGAGTATAATCGTACCATTACCACTCATAAAATATTAACAAAGCATTAATGTAACTAAATATCAAGTAAAATAAATAACATTCTGAATTTCAAGCTATAATTATAAAATAAAGTAAGGAAAAAGTAAATCTTTATTCCATTAACTACCGCACTACAAAGCCTGAAGTTTCCTTAAAGGGATTTATTCTGCGAGATAAAATAATGCAGTTTATTGCGACTTCGATGTTACTAAAAGAGACACGCTATGTCAGCGGCCGTTATACACTTTTTGCCGCGATCCAATCTCGGTGGGGTATGAGTAAAGTTTGCAAGGAGCGACTTCTGGATCGAAACGATAAAATATTTTTAGCGGACGCCTTAAGCTGCGTATTCATTACTAGGCAAATATAAAACTGAAAGTACTAAGAAAATTGGTGGAATTATAACTGAATCGTCATCAATAATGACCGTTATACGTGTTAAGAAATATCTACAGGGTGGAAACGATAAGTGATCTCACTCAATTATTTCTAAACTATCGAAAAACTGATTACTGATCCTGAAAGTGCTTCACGAGCTCTTTCAAACGATATCAGTAATAAGTTAAGAATTAACTTGATCTATCCGGAAATTCAATGTTTTCAGCCTCCATACTAAATGTATGCCACTATGCCAGCCACATAATATTAGAGTGTTAATTTTTTTTATTTTAAATAATAAACACTTGGAATTAACTCGTAAATTGCACTCTTAATTAAAATTATTCATGGAAAACATTGGTTTAAGGCTTTAGGGACTTGCTATAATATTATCAAGACATGAGTGCCATGACTGTGCCAGTACTAAATGTATGGATGCTGGAAGCATTGAATTTTCAGATAGATCCAGTTTATTTTATAACTTATTATTGGTACTGTTGGATAGAGCTCGTGAAGCACTTTCAGGATCAGTAACCAGTTTTTGGATATCTTGTATAGTTTAGAAATAATCGAATGAGATCACTTATCGTTTCCACTCTGTAGATATTTCTTAACACGTATAACGGTCAATGATCACATGTATTTGGGTTTTTGTATACCTACTCTTGTAACACTTTACAATGAACAAATGTTCTGTAGGTAACATACGAGTAAGTGCGCAACTTACGCCCGCTGCGGTAACCGAGATCTCACTTCGAAACACGGGACACTATCTAACTTTGTTTATTCAACCATAATCCTCTCGGTAATACTTGTTTGATAATAATTGACTTTACTTGACTTACTTTCTAGTTACTTTATTCTTGGTGTTTTCGTTCGCAGCAGTGGTTTATTACTTTGTTGATTAACTTATTCATCTTACATTAATTAAACTACAAACAGAGCTGAGTGCTCATTTCTATAGCTATAAATAGGAACCGGTGAAGATGAGCCCTCGCTACAATTTTATTAAGGTGGTTATCTGTCTACAAGTATTACTCCAGTATGCCTCAATGGAAATGGGAGAAAGGACGTTTTTTTATACATTTTTATAAAAAGAACATTATTATCGTTTAATGGAAATAAACTTTACATATTTTATGTAATGAAGATAACTTTGAATTGTCTTATACGTAGTATCACTTGTTTTAGACCACAGATAGATATTTGGGGTCGAGGTCAACTTCTAATACTTTATAGTTCATCGCCGTTCAATCTTCGAGGGAACGAGGCGGTTCGCTCCCTTAAAGGTCCTTTGTTTATTGAGTTTGAGGCGTATTATTGTAGTTTGCTCACCCCCGGCCGTTGGACACTCGTTTACTTTAACTTTCCGAAGAAATTTGACGGTAAATCTAATATCCAGCGAAGGTTCCTTTTTAATCTCTTTGTTCTCAAAGTTTTTGTATTTGTGCTCTTGTAGAAAATTAAAAATAATAACCTAAGAGAAATTGGTTTCAGTCTTTTGTTGGATCAATACCATCCATATTCAGGCAATGTTTTTTTCAGGAAGCTGATATTAGTATAGCGCCTCTCGCTATCACGCCAGATCGGGAAAGAGTGGTGGATTTCAGTGAGCCCTTCTTATCAATCGATTCCCCTGTTACACACAAGAAAGTGCCAAAACAATTATCTGATACGTTCAGCTTCCTCAAACCGCTATCCAAAGAAATATGGGTAAGAATTTGTTCTCATATACATTAGGATTATTGTACTTGTTGCGTCTTAAGATGGTCTGTTATAAAACGCGAAATATGATATAAAAATACAATATTGAAAATCAGTATTATTGTCATTTTCATTGTTAAGGCGATTAGAGTCCTCAATCCGCGTCAAATGGGCATTTTGTAAAGCCTACTCCTCTTTTACTGCTGGACAGAAATAGTTGAAAAAAATATATGTTATACAACAGTTCAAGGACTANCCGACAAAAACATTAGAAAATTTACGAAAAAATTTAATAAAAAAAAAAAAATAGCCCGTACAAAATGTTCATGGATTGTGTTATTTTTATAAATACCTTTACGCCTGAGGTAAATGATACCGACATCAAGGTTCATCAATTATTCAAGTTTAAAATAATAGGCAGTAATGTCATGAAAAAAGAGCTTCTATTCTGTATCTACCTATGCCCGTGTAATTTTGATCGGTGTCAAATCGGAGTTTTCGTGCGGGGTGCGCGGGTGTTTCGCGCGGCGTGAAGGTCAAACGCCCAAGGTCATTGAGGACTCTAATCGCCTTAATACTTTTAACAGTTTTATAAACTCACGTGGTTTTGTTATTTTTTTATGTTGGCTAGAAACTAGGACATCATCGTTCGTTGCAGCCGAAAGATTTCCACTGCTGGACAATGCCTCCCCCAAGGTTGTCCATAAATACTACGAGTATCATACCTAAGTACTAATTGAGCGTTTTTGTCCACAGTTGTGCGTCCTTTTCAGCTTTTTTGCTGTAAGCATCGTCCTGTTTTTAGTATCAAGATTTTCACCCCACGAATGGCGTTCCGTCTCTATCTCTGAAACTCAGTTAGACCATCCTATTAGTAGCACTAATGAGGTAAGTGCTAACTGATAAAACAATCAACCAAACCTTTTTTCCGGTAAAAAGAAAGTTAATGTAATTTTCAGATAATTCTTCACAACGAATTCAGCATTTGGAACTCATTTTGGTTCTCCCTCGGATCCTTTATGCAGCAAGGCAGTGACGTCGTGCCGAGGTATGCACCAAAATTTTTGTATAAATATTACGTCCAGAACGTTCTGTGAAAAGGACAACAATGTGGCTATGTTTGGAACGTTTAAAGAAATGCGGTCAATATTACCGGCGACAGTGGCTATGGAGCTCTAGATTAAATTCCATGTCTTGTGTTAAATCGCGCGTGTCCCAGAAAATACGAGTATCTACAACATAATACATTACTTATGTACATAAGTGAACGTTGGGTAAGAAGGAGGCACGATAATCACCTTGTTATGTCTACCGATGCGAGATACTACTCGTAATAAAATTACTTATATTTCCTCTCTCGCGAAGAACAGTGACAAAGACATAACCGCATTTTACTAAAGGAAGGAAAGGCATACTTATTTCCAATTTCATTGGAAAGGAAATGAGTTTCTGATACACATTTGTTAAAAATGAGGAATATTATAATGTAGTCGAAGTCTTTGAAGTCTAATAGCAAGTTGATGATTATATTGTTACACTTATGAACGGACGGCGTTTCTACGTTTTTTGCGTGAGCTATTAAAACAATAACATACCTTTTCTGTAAATGACTGCTATAATTTTCATTTATTTACTTATCTCACCAAACCACAGGTCTTTGTCCGGAAGAATAGTGGGCACGGTATGGTGGTTCTTTGCACTCATTCTGGTATGTTCATACACGGCCAATCTGGCTGCCTACCTGATTGTCGAGCGCATAGCCGAGCCAGCCCAGGCCCTGCACTACCCGTCGAATATGGCGCACTCAGAAGTAAGAGACATCCCCTTTTAAAAGCTACAGGTAACAATAGCTCGTATACAAAGCGATAATGCTACAGCGAGTGCCGTAAACCAAATGTGACAACACGCATAATCTCTTGATCGTTATTTGTACTTGGTTCTATTGATCTTATTAAGATTTTGTTAATTAGATTACTCTTAATCTATAATTATACTCTTAAACTCTTAATCATATTATGTATATGGAGCCGACTTTAGAAAAAACAAAAAACTGCATAATGTAAAAAAACTAAATTAACGACTACATCAGTACAAGTTTATGTGAATTAAAAATGCTATAATTGGAGCGTAGTTAAATTCAATACAGTCCTTTCAATGGGTATAAACTGGATTATAAAGTATGTTTTCAAGACAAATTTTCGCTATTCGTGTCTGGAATTTAAGTGTAGTTAATGTTGCCACTTTCTTCAAAGCTCGAAGGAAATAAATTTGCTTCAGACTAACCTCATTTCGTGTTGGCTCGATGTGAAAAAAGTATTTATAATAAAACCAAATGATTTTTATATTCCTTTTAACCCTCGTAGTTAGGTGCTTAAAAGAAGCGATCTATTCCAGACTCGAATTATAAAATAACAGGCAAAAACAGATTTAAAAATTAATTTTAAAAAAATACATATGGGTTTCTATTGAATAGAGTTACTGTATATTTATTTCTTACGATTGCAAAACTGAATAATCTAATTGGAACATGTTTTTGCATCTCATAGTTCTTTGGGTAACAAACAATCAACTAAATTATCTTAATTAGAGTCAGGGTAATCACAGACTTCAAAAAACATTATATAAATTAAGGTATACGTCAGCTGACTTTAGTGTATAGTCCAGTCATTTAAGCTTAAATTAGGTAAGAATCTCGGAATTAGAGATACCCAGCTGTAAGTCTGTAAATACTTGTATATTGACACCCTAAAAGTTGTCTCAAAACCTACATATGGTAGGGTGTAAGCAACTATTAAATTTTAAGGTCAAAGGTCACAAAAATCGGTTTTTTGCGCTTTTTTTGGAAATATCTCATTTCCTATGGGTTTTTTGCTATTTGTATTTATTATCAATATTGTAGAATACTAAATTCTCTACGGGTCCGTGGCCGAGTCCCCCAGTTTTCGACGCACCCGTGGTCGACGCCCCCGGTCAGTTAAATTCGATTTGAAGCAATTTTTAATCAAATGTACAGTCAGGCACAAAAATGTTTATAAACTAATAAATATTTATTAGGCCAGTAGAATTAAACACAAAAATGAATCTAATGAAATGAAAATAATTCCTACAAAAGTTTTTTGTTTCTTACTACTGCTGGTTTTGGGTTAAAATTTTGCTCCCAGATTGCATAAATACCGTCAAACATGCATAGTTTAGTATAATAATTAGCTTGTGAAACTTTTTTCGTTGACTGTACTTAGTGCAAAAGCCGAAAAAAATGTGATATTAAATTTATTTAAATCGGGGGCGTCCACCACGGGTGCGTCAAATACTGGGGGACTCGGCCACGGACCCGTTGTAATAGGAGATATTTTTCAACAAACATTACACAAAGATTTTTCAACTGAAGTGCTGTAGTCTGTACCTTGTGGGTGCAAAAAGCGTGGTTGGTGAACGCAGGGCATGACGATGTGCCCTTTGATCGGCCAGCCGGGAGATATTGCATAAAGCTAGCGACCGATTGGAACAAAAAATATCTTTAAATTATGTGACATTGTAAAAAACGACTACCCTGCAATTAGAGCGTTGTTTTAAACTGCCTATTTAAATTTTATTTCTCGCCTGTTTTCAGTCAGGTACCTTCTTACCTTCTTGTGATTATCATACGAGTATAACTTACGAATGAATCGCAACAGTAAAAGTTAATCTATATTATATATAAAAATAAAACCCGTTTTCCGTTGTCACGACGTAACATGAAAACGGCTTGACCGATTTGGCTGATTTTTTTTCTAGTTTTCTAATACTCTGTACAAGGTTTTTACGGAAAAAAATATAAAGAAAATCTCTACGCTAAGGCGGTACGAAGTTCGCCGGGTCAGCTAGTGTAAAATAATAAGCAACAGGTGTTTTATTGTATACCATTTTTTTTAGCAGATGAATAGTAAATAAAACTCAACTTCAATACCTACATTATATCGAAGGTTGAGCACAGACTTCGACGTAAATTTCCACTATAGAGCTCCTACTATCTAGTTGAAATCTCGCCTGTATGCGGTAATTCCCTGTTGAATACTGAAAAGTCGTAAATTTACATGGAGCCCGTCAGTAGGGAAGTCGGCGCTCTTTGCATGTTGGATTTATGTGCCCGATTTTTATGGTGCGCACATGACCGTGATTTTCACAACACGGATCACGTGTATAGTCTTATGATACACCTGACGTTTCAATACAGTTTCACTTTTAAATTTATATCCCAGACACATTTAAATACAGTTTCAATTTTAAATCATACATATACCTAAATCTCAATTTCAGTAGTTTTCACGCATTCCATATTCAAAAGTTGCAGCTATTGATAACGTATTTTTACAAAGCATTTGCCGCACAATACAGATAACAGGCTAAAAATGGTGGACCGCATCGACATTTTACCGTTCGTAGTGCACCAGGCGTTAATTCTGTTAAATTTTATGAAGCTGATAAAATCAGGCTTACTTTGGATTTTACCAGTGCTATTTCACGTGTCTATCGGAAAATTGTTCGAATATTTTTACAGTCAGCGTCCACAAAGGCCAGTCCTACGCCGCTCGCATTCAGGCACCTCCCGCGACCTTTACCAGATCGTCGGTCCACCTAGTGGGAGGTCTGCCCACGCTCGTGGTCGCCACTCAAGAGCTTTCCTGCCCTAGCGGCCATCGGAAATCCTTGGCGGAGGCCTTTGTGCAGCAGTGGACGTCTTTCGGCTGAAACGAATAAACCAACGAACGATCAGTCAGTTCAAATGACTCGTGACACCCAAAGTAGCCAAAGACAACACATTCTTATTCCAATTGTAATAAAGACGTGTTGCGAGCATTGGCTACTTGACGTGTCACGAACTATTTGACGTTGATTGTACCTATTTTCTTAGCATTATAATACAGTGCAGATTGTACTTATCTTTTCAACAAAAATACTAAAGGCATTATTTAACGTAATATTTTCAGGGAAGGAATCAACTTGGCCATCGTAAATTTGAAGAAGGAAGGAGTCATAACGAAGCTTTGGCGTAAATGGGTGATGAACGCTAAACAATCGGACTGCGACGCTGTAAAAGATGAAGTAAGTTTATTCACTTTACACTATTACTGTTTTATTATTACAAATAACTTTTTCTACTAAGGTGGTATGACTAAGTACTTAACTTAAAACTTTTCTTTTATCTTTAATTTCTTTTAAAACTGCTCATTTCTACACCACGCTGTATACACTAGAAAAAGTAGTTCTTTACGAAGTTCCCTTTGGAGAGTTGTCATGATGACATTGATTTGCTTCCCGAAAGAAAAATTACTACAGTACATACAGTTTTTCTGAGAATGATACTGTCATAGGGACTTGTTGTCAAGGTTTCCGCTATCAGTTATACTCGTACCTACATTATAAAGTACCTATTTGAGCCAATGTGAAATTTCATAGAACCAAAAGTGTCTTAACATAAATGTAACAAATCTTGCTATTTTTCTCTAGGAGGCTTCAATTACGGAGATGACATTGGGCCAAGTCGCGGGCATATTCTACGTGCTAGTGGGTGGATTGGCTCTAGCGTTGACTGTGGCTCTGCTAGAGTTTTGTCAGCATGGCCGAGCTGAAGCGGCGCGAGCTAACGTTCCGTTGCGCGCAGCGTTACGCGCTAAGGCAAGGATGGCTTCGCGCACCGATCGCAAGACTCCAATACAACGCACACCGCAGAGAGACCATGATCGCCTCGGATGGAATGGCGCTGCTTTTGCTGGGGTCAGTATAACATAAGCATGAAATTAGCTAGCTGATAAAAAAAAAATACATAAATCAAAATATAACTTCGTAGCAAATTATACGCCAATTTATAACTCTTACAACAACTTGTTAAAACTGGCACAAACTATTATTATTAAGTATGCAAAAAGATGAGAATTTATTTTCTGTATTCATCAACGTTTACCTTCTACTTATTTGTTATTTTTTCAACTGTTTGTAACAAAAAAAAATAGTTTTTTTTTGTTATTGAAGCTATATCTTGTTGAAGTTGAAGATCTAATTAATTGTTTTAAATTTTATGTTTAGTCTAATGACTTTCTGCTCGGGAGAAACGTATTGGGCCACTTTCAGCGCAAGGTGTAAATAATACATAGGACGTAAGTTATTGGTTTTTCTCATGTTTGGCTCGTGTGTGTGAACCCGGTTATTCCTGATGGAATGTTTTTTTAACCTCAAAAAGGAGATGGAAGAAATAGGTCCAAAGATAAATGTTTAATAAGTAGCTCATCTTTATGCACGCTCCTACTATTTTTTCCCATAATATTTTGGGACTACTTACTAGCATTTTTCCTTGAAAAATGTAGATTAGTCCTGGAAAATGTAGAACTGATCTAAATATAATATTTGAGTTGTACATTATCCTTAGAATAAACGATTATTAGAAAATCTGATCTGATTATGATTGTAAGAAAAAATATAATTTGTCTTTAATTGATATTGGTTTGATTCTGCCACTGTTTTTTTTTTAGTTAAATAATTTATTGGGAGAAGTTTCATGTCTCATGAAAGACTATTTGAAATAAAACCTCCATTCCCTAAGCAAAAAATTGTTATACTTATCCAAGCAATGGGAATTATAAAAGATTAATAAATACTGTGTATTTGAGCAAGAAAAGATGAAGCTAAAAATTGCACACATAGTTTTATTTATGCATAGCTTCGTTTTATTATTTCTTCTATCTCCTTTTCATTTATTTCCATGATAATACAAGTTGTGACGTTACCAGTAATTCCGAAATCCGCCTAACATCACTATGTTTTGTGATAAGTATAATAATAATTATTCATATAGTATTTGATTGAATCCGTTTTTTTAATCTGCATCCTTTGCTTGAGATATTTGATTGACGACACAATCATAGTACTGATGATTATTGAATAACAGGTATTTTATAGTTAGGTACATTTACAATATTCCTACTGAATACGCATATTTTAAGAGAGATTGTGATCTATCTGACAAAAATCATTATGGTAACAGTTTTTCTCTATTAACAGATACTTTTTTATGCTCAAGTCTTACACATGAAGATTTTAGAATTATAAACAAACAGATCTCATAATGTCAATAACAATATGATTAGTATTAGTAGAGTAAGGTACCCAGGGATGAAGCGGTCCGATTTGTCAGTCAACCTTCTAACTTTCTACTCATTGTTATCAATGAAAACTACAAGTAAAATGGGTCTATCATTGTCTTCCAGTACTTCACTGCCGGCACTCAGATCGCCCAAGAAGACACGGTCCACGCCAATTTTACCCACGTCTGATCCGCGGAGAAGGGCGGCGGCGTCAACGTGCGCCGGACGTCCATCACCAAGCAACCCAACAACGTAGATCTGTACCAACTTTAATACTTATTTGTTTGTTTCAAGGTCCAGATTACAGTAGCAAGAAACATCTGAAAGGCGTATGATCTGACATGTTTTGCCACTTGGATGAAATAAATACAAAACTGACAATATCACGACATAATATGAACCATTGGAATTGAAATTCACACGAGAAGTTGTGTTACCAATTTAAGAGAGATGCCACACGGGCGTTAACGTTGCGATGCGTTGCAAGGTCGCTACCTCAGATCATAGAAAGAGAATAGATATGAAGTCGCGCGTAACTACAACGAGAACCAGTGTCCCCACATTTCCCCCACCACAGCTCCCACACACACATTCAACTGTGTAAAAACAAAGCGACTGAGAGTCTACGACAACATGTGCAACCGGCTTAAAAGTGCTGTGATTGGCCATAAGGCATGCCTTCTGGCCAATCAATGGCCGCGTGACGTGACGCACACATTGAAAACGCTAGTGAGAGAACAAAGATAAAATGGAGTCGACAAGATATCGATACTTTAAATCGCTAGGGTCAAGGATCGAAACTGATTTCACAAAATGCTTATGTATGGAAACCTTTTTATTATTATACGTTATTATTAACTACTATCACGCATTTACTTTTTAATTATGGCGATCTGCGTACCGCATAATGTTTATAAAAACTAATGCCTATATTAGGCTTTCAACTAGCTCTACATAGTTGACAGTTACTAATTACTTCTACTGTTATTTTTTTTTNCCGTCTGTATGTTCCTTATAGAAACAAAAACTACTCGACGGATTTTAACGAAACTTGGTACAATTATTCTTCATACACCTGGGCAGGTTATAGTATACTTAGGAATTCCCACGGGAACAGGAATTAGCGGGAAAATCCTTTTGTATGAAAAATCTAAACGCTTAACGGAAGTTAGACGCTTGAAATTTGGCATGTAGGTACCTTAGTAAACTCAAAGCTTAGTTACAACAAGGAATTCCCGAAATTCCCACAGGAATTAGCGGGAAAATCCTTTTGTATGAAAAATCTAAACCGCTTAAGTAGACCTGAAGTGATGCAGTGACCGCGCGCTCTCCGCCCTCTATCTCGAAAACGGTTCACCGTATAAAAAAAGTTTAAACAAAATTTGTAGAGAATTTAGTATTCTACGATATTGATAATAAATACAAATAGCAAAAAACCCACAGGAAATGAGATATTTCTAAAAAAAGCGCAAAAAACCGATTTTTGTGACCGTTGACCTTGAAATTTAATAGTTGCTTACACCCTACCATATGTAGGTTTTGAGACAACTTTTAGGGTGTCAATATACACGTATTTACAGACTTACAGCTGGGTATCTCGAATTCCGAGGTGAACTTACTATAATGACTGGACTAGTAGTTTTTAGTATGCATGTCGTTTCCTAAATTTAGAATTTTGCATATCATTTTGTTTCAAAGAGCGATAATATTTTGTTTGTTTTTAGAACCACATACTATCGTGGGGGAATTTGGTGAAGGATTCTATGGTAATTGAAGAGGGCATTATGTCCCCGTATCCAGCGTATAAGGAGGGCCCGATCGCCTGCGACGCGTTGTCTCGTGTTTGCCATTATAAGCACATTAATTTTGCCGTTGCTACGGCAAAAGGATCTCCTCTGAGGTGAGTATTGGTTATTATAGCGCTTCGTGTTATTGATAATTTTAGTGTAAGATAAATAAAAGTTCTTACACGATAGAGTTTTGATAAATACTTGTGTGTACGTATTTTTTTAACCCTGACTTTTTTCTAGTTTTAAATAATATGAAACATAAACTTTACCCACATTTAAGTATAAAGTAAGTAAGTTCTACAAGTTCTATACATTCATATAACACATTTATTAGAATTTTAAATAATAATATTTTAGACTAAACATTACGGACTTCATTATGAATGAAACTATAAAAACTTATCTGGTATCTCAAACAGAGCATTTAAAATTCACACCGAAGTGCAGTCTGTTGACAGCACATAAAGCTAAACAATGGGGTCTTAAGTCGACCCGTTGTAGTAATGGGTCCGTGGCCGAGTCCCCCAGTTTTCGACGCACCCGTGGTCGACGCCCCCGGTCATTTAAATTCGANTCGCTACGGTGCCGCTCCGTAGTTCTACATTCTACATATTATAAATTTGGCGTGTGATGGATGGGATTTGGAATTCAAATGCTTCGAGAATACCTACATCATAGTCCAGTCTATAACTACATTGCGTGATACCTTCAGCTGAGTGACAAGACACGGTCAGATCATACACCGGTTCGTATCCAGATAACAAAAAATTCGCTCCATTTACCACACTGAATAGTCAGAAAGCGGCCATTCTTTAATGTAGGGTGTAAGGAAGAAGTTGGGAAAAACATGTAGGTACCTATACGTGAACTTTGTTTTTAGAAATTTCTAAAGTGCGATTTAGGTATATACATAATATTTTGCTATGAATGGATTCCGAGTTTTGCCAACCTATCCCTTACACCCTTCTTTTCTTAAAAATACCATCCGATAGTCAGTGCCCTTAGACAATGTAAAGCCTGCCTTACTCGTACATAAACTCTTGAGGTCACCAAGGTCAACAAATCATTACATAATAAAGTACCTAGTTACAATATCACTTAACAAAATTATCAAATTAATGTGATAGGTTGGTGGTACATTTATCAAGGAATGATGAATAGTTAACATGGACTTGATATAATGCTTCATCATTGTCTAAAGACACTGGTATTGTCGCTGCACTCAAAGAAAACAATCCGCTGAACATATTATTATGGAATCAATCGATAAAAATAATTATACTTTAGAATCAACATGACGCGACGTGTCGACTGTGTAAATCACATCCTTACTTTAAGGCCCAGAACAGACGGTGAAAGGCAACTGCAACGAAACTACAACTTCTAGTTACTTTTGAGTTGCATCTAAGCTTCTGCCATAGCGTCCGTTGAGAGACCACACATGACGCAACCAGTTTGAAACTTTCAGTTTCAGTTTCATTCATAAGAATCATCAGAAAGTTGCAGTTTCGTTGCAGTTACGTTTCACTGTCTGTTCTGGGCCTAACTGTTGATTTAATAATGTGCCAAAATTTGTCGTATAAACAAATGACAAGCGGAAAAACGAGAGTGCCGCGACTAATTTAAATCTGACGGCAAACACAGTATAATTGTATGCGTTACTAGAGAAGAAAATTAAAAAACGAGTCGGATGTTTATTTATAATTTCAGAAAATTAGGTATAGTGTTGGCCAAAAATAAACTGCCCTTAGGTTAGATTTTTAGGGCCTCTGCTCAAACTCGCGCGGATCCCTTAATACTAATTTTCGATATAGAAATGCGCGCGGGCGCCCGCGCGAGTTTTAGCGGAGGCTCTTAGTAGATAATGAGATTAATATTAAAAAAAAGTATTAGTGCCCTTGCAGTGAATAAGGGCACAAATATTAACTGTTTTAAATATCTGAATGTTATTAGGCAAAAATTAACACTTTCACTGTCAGGATTAATACATTAATAACTACATGTAACCAAGTCTCGCTTGGTTACCCTTAGGTAATATTCACTAGCATATCAGTTGTCAAAGTGGAAATTGAATACAGAGATCTCACTGATAAAACCACAGAAAGTGACCTATTTGAAGCCTCTATCAAAAATCTTGCATGAATTATTTGAAATTCGTATGCGAATTGTTACTGAAGTTACAAGAATAATTCCCGTTTTCACCATTAATCCCTAATTTTTAAGTGACCTCTATTGTAACACTCAGGAATTTAGTTTTCATAAGAGTCACTTAAAAATAAGGATTGATGGTGAAAACGAGCATAAGCCTCCTGACAAAAATAAAATTACTAATATTGAGGCACGCACGTGGTAGTGAAAATGTTAATTAGTTTCGAGTGTGTAAGCACTTGTCTATGTCTTATTTTTTATTCTGTGGTAGGAGGGTTTACGTTTTAAAGTATTATGCACAAATAGTGGTAGAAATTTTTCACGGTTTTGTACCTACTATCTATATCTTATCTGTAGTTATGTTTAGAAACGATTAATTATTGGTTAAATATATCATGCTATCTGAAATTTTATTGCAATATTTAATATACCTAAGCATGTTATTATTGTTCGCAAATGACATAAATTATTGAATAATCAAAGTTTTTACGTGATGTGATGTATGTATGTTCAAATCGCTAGGCTAGTATGAAAACGAATCGATCGCAATATTATGCATTCGCCATTTTGTACCTCATGTAGTTTTAAATATCATAGCTTATTGAGAGATAGTTACGCTAGTTCTACATTATATAGTGCAATGTTAACCGTGTTTAATTTATTACCAGAATAAAATGTATGGATATGTTAAAGTTTTCATCATGAGGATCTAAATAGGATTCGGGTATTGGTTTTAGATCTTTGTTCCATTTTGTCATGCTGAAATGACGCTCTAAAATTGATTTAAATTCACTCATAGATTGCAGACTGTTTGGTTCTATTTCCATGATAATACAAATTACAGGCTTGATTCTAATATTCTGTACTTATTCGTGTTAATTACGAATACGTTCTCTTTAGTTGGATGAAATAAGAACGTTCTATGGGGCTATTTATTTTATTAGTAGAGTATAAATAACTATTTAGTGTGTACCTATAACTAACTCGAATAATGAACAATGACAAAAATTAGATTTTCGTATTGGTAAATCAATCGTATTATAGTTCGTTTCATCCTCGAAGACGCGCGGGGTCGAGGGAAGCGCGGGGTGCGGGAAGCATGATCCGACCAATCCGAGCGTCATTGTTGGCATTGGCATGTCCGTGAGTGCGCACGCAAACTACAATCAGAGTAAATACATCTTCATAGAAACGCACCGAGCGTGGTTCGTATGTGAGCGCGCCAATATACTTACGTATGCGGCGCGCACGCACACACTGACAAAATTCGGCGCAACCACGACTGGCTCACCGCTAATCCCCGCAAAATTACGCATACGTGTTGGCGCGCGTATCATAGAAACGCACGGGCTCGGTTCGTACATGAACGAACCGAGCCCGTGCGTTTCTATGAAGATGACCTGCTCATTTGTATTTACCTGCTACAATA